CTCCTCCTCACTACTGCCCTGTCCCCATGGTAAGTTCTAACAATGCTGCTCTCTTATAGGTGAAATTCACATTGGCTGAGGTGAGTTTTGGGGCTGTAACTGGTTTGGCTTGATCTGTCGTAGGAAAGCAGAATCCCCATTATAATATTGAAACCTCCACAATGGAGGTGAGGTCAGGTGCCGCTTCAGTTCCTTTAAGTGTCTGCTGTGCCTCAGTTGATCATTAGAAGGAGTGATTCATCTTTGTAGACTTTTAGGGCTGGGGGGACCTCAAGACATCCTAGTCTATGCTTAAATACTTCCTGTGGTTTTCTGCCAACTGACCTTCCATCCTCTGCTTATAAACTTCTAGTGACTGAGATAGTCTTTCCTTTTATCTTTGACAGTTGGAGGAAGCCTTTATATTAGATTGAAATTGGCTTGCACTCTCTCTTTGAATCACACAGAAGTCTAATTCCTTATGCCTAATCCTCTCTAGATCTGTGAAGAGAGCCTTCACATTCCCTTTGAGATATCCTTCTTCCATGTGACCTCCTCCTTTCTTTGATGACTCTTCCTATACATCTGCCTATTTTTCTGCCTAAGTGATTTGTGATTCTGGCTCTTGCCCACAAAATGAACACTCAGAAATTTTCACTGAGTGTCTATTATGTACAGATAGGCCTGTGCTGGCATAAAGGTCCCTGGCTTCAGGTTGCTTGTAATGTACAGGGAGAAAAGACACTGGATAACAACAAGAAAGAACCAGCGTCTCCTGATTTTATCCAGCCTTTTTAAGCCAAACTTTCTTAGTAAAATCTCTGTTCTTACCTTAATCTGTCAGCATCGGGGCCACATTTAAGACTGTCCCTCTAGATTACAGCTGAATCAGTGAGGAATATTATTCAAATTAAAATAGGACAAAAACTAATAGCACATGAATGTGAATGTGAATTTTAAATATACTGTAAATCCTTTTATAAGACACCAGAGACTCATTTTCCCTAACCACATCCATAGTGGAAATAGTAAACAAGTGCTGGTCTCCTTTAAAATAGAGCACTGTGATCTGAAAGCTCATTTGGCCCCTCTTTAGGCTCTGTAAGCATGTTATGAAAACAAGTTGAAAAATGAATATACAGTCGTTCAGCTTGGTCTGCATAATGTCAGACAATCTGTAAGTTTTTTATCTTCACTTGAATAGAACACATTTTTGACTGAATTGAAGGACTGTTTAGGTTCCTTGTAGACACAGTCTTAGCAAAGAAAACTAAAAAATTGCTTTTGGGGAAGAAAATTATAGCTAGTTATAGCTCATAAAACCATTCTTGTGTTCATTTTCTTGAGGAAATTGCTGTAAGTGTATCTTCTAGGGCAAATATGAAAGAGACCTTTTTATGCTTAAATAAAAGCTCAGAGATTTTCCGTATCAGAATTTTTCCATTGACTTGTCTTAGTTCTGAAAATAAAATGAAACCCTTAGCCAAAGGGAAGCTCGCATGTTAGTTAAATACTGACATGATTTGAACTTACTTTATTTGTTTACATTATGTCTAATAACTATGTTGTCCAGTCTTTGGAGACACAAAGAAACAATATTACATTAGAAGCTTTTTTGATTTTCTAATATATCTTTTTATATCTAAAGTCCTGTTTAAACAAAATTCCATGATTCTGTAGAAGAAGAGCTGTGCATCTTTGTGTTTACATAAAGATATGTTAGGTTTGCAATACTTGTTTAATTTTATGCCTTTAAAATATGAATGACATCATTTAGCCTGCTAGATAGGAGATTTATTTTAGTAACAAATCTTTCAGATGAATTCATAAGTGAGAAAGAAAGAAATGTGAGTAAATGTTTGTTCTATTTTGGTTTTTAAGCTAAAATAATTAGAATTCGGCCAGCCAAAAAAGAAATTAAATTTGAAATCTAATTCTTGTCAAGAAATTTTGCATGCGGCTATTCAACCTACTGTTTTAGAATTGCTGTGGTAAGAAAGTAGAACATTACTTTGGCAAATGTAGTGGTTGGTAGGTTGGAGAGCAGAGATGAGACTCCTCCATGAGTGATAGGAACTCCTATGCTTTCTGAATATAGCTTCCAAATAATGTAGGGCAACGGATAAGTCAGAGCCTGGAGCAACCAAGTGCTCAGAAGTCTGTGTCAGTGTCAGTGATATTATGATAATATGATTTATTGAGAAATTGATGAAAAAATTAAAGGAAGTTCTTCTTGAACAGAGCTAAGAAACAGATAACTGATTTTTTAAAAAATAATTTTATTTATTTATTTATTTTCCCCCCCAAAGCCCCAGTAGATAGTTGTATGTCATAGCTGCATATCCCTCTGGTTGCTGTATGTGGGATGTGGCCTCAGCATGGCCGGAGAAGTGGTGTGTCGGTGCACGCCCGGGATCCGAACCTGGGCCGCCAGCAGCGGAGCGCGCACACTTAACCGCTAAGCCACCGGGCTGGCCCCAGATAACTGATTTTTGATCCACAAAAACATCCATCTCAAAAATGAAAAATTTAATACTTTAAGATTCAGTTGAGGGGCCGGCCCAGTGGTGCACTATTTTTCCTAAACAGAAAAGTTGTTATTTGCAGATCTATTCTGCTGCTCTGAGTCATTGATGGTTACATTTATATTTAACCTGAAATGCAAAGCATTTTCTTCCAAGGCGTGAAGTTAAATCATTTTGCAAAGTGTATACAGGTATATTTTGAGTTTTCTTTTTCTTGCTACATATAGTTGAAAAGCAAGGTCAAGCATTTGTAAGAGGGGCATGTGTGTGTGTTTAGCATCGTTGGGTGCATTCTTTGTTCCCTCTACCTGTCTGGAGGGTCCTTTCTATACCCCTTTTCCAGTGCTCACTATTATGAGTTTTGATCCCAGCAGGAGAATTTTCTTGTACCACTTTGATGAAAGGTCATACTTATTGTTCGAGGAAGAGCAAGGAGGCTAGAGCAAGGGAGAGAATGGTGAGATATGAAATGTGAGAGGTAGTGAGGGGTCAGTTTATTTGGAGCCTTATAGGCAAAATTCAACAAAACCTACATTTCCTTGTCATTTCTGTTCATCTTAAATTTTATCCTTAATCATGTTTTTCTTCATTTGACTTTTCATGTAGTATATATATATTTTTTTGCTGAGGAAGATTTGCCCTGAGCTAACATCCATTGCCAGTTTTCCTCTTTTTGTCTGTGAACCACTGCCACAGCATGGCCACTGACAGACGAATGGTGTAGGTCCTCACCCGGGAACTGAACCTGGGCCACCGAAGCTGAGCGTGCCGAACTTAACCGCCAGGCCACTGGGGCTGGCCCTCATGTAGTATATTTTTATCCTTTCTTTTTCTGTTTTCAATAAAGTTTTGAGAATATAAATTTTCTTTTAAGTACAGCTTTGCTTGCATTCTATAAGGTTCACGGCCCTAAGTCGCATGGCCATCCCTACAAGGGAGGCTGGGAAATGGAGGACTTTTAATGAGCACACTGCTGCCCGGGACAAAATCAGGATTCTGTTAGTAAGGAAGAATGGGAGAATAAATATTGGATAAACTACTAGCAATATCTTTCATAAAATCCTGTGGGCCTAGGGGATTTTCTGGAGATTCCTGTGCTATACAGATTGTTACCAAGCATTGTGAAAGGGAAAGACACCCAATTTATTTTGTGAAACTAGCCAGAATCTTGTATCAAAACCTGACAAAGATGGCTGAAAAGGAAAATTACAGACCAGTTTAACTTATGGGTGTGACTATGAAAACACAAAATACAAACACGTCAATTTTTCAGCACATTAAAGGAATCATCCATCATGATCATGCAGGGTTCATACTATAAATGCAAGAATGCTTTAATATTAGGAAAGCCTTTAATACAATAGAACATATCAAAAGATCCAATAAGAAAAAATCACAATAGATAAGGATTTGATAAAAGTCAGCACTCATTTCTGATTAGGAAACCAGTCTGAGACAACTAAAACTAGAAAGATATTTCTTTAATGAAATAAAGATATCTAACTTGCTATTCTGGTCAAGTTTATTTCAGTCAAAGGACAAAGGTATATTCCATATATCCCCAAGCCTTATCAATCTGTGACTACAAAATGTACTTTTAAATAATATGTGAAATATTATGGTACAAAACCATATTAGTGTACTTCCAGTTACTTCTGGGAGTTTCTTGAGGTGTTCTCTTTTATGTACTGCAGAACACATTCCTCCCTTCTTCCTCAGCTCAGATCTTTCCAACTTGCCACCACACAGCTGCCAATAACTCTAGTTAGGTAGAATGCTCTAGTTAGCAGAGAAAAATAGCACCCACTAGTTCCTGTTTTTGCCATTTGAGTATAAAAATGAGGATACTTCTAATATTGCCTTTAACTTTTAGAATTAGGTAGTTTATAAAATCAAATTATCTACTCCTTTCTGAAGTGTGTAATATGAATTTGCTCTAATAATAAGTAGACTAAGATTTAAATTTTAAACTCACAGTAATGTATGTTTTACACTAGTATTTTTTGTCTTTTTTTTAACTACAACCCATGTTAAGAAATACATTTTATAATGTGACCAAGTACCCACACACACACAAACATTCTATACATATATATCTATATAATTAAAATAAAAGTTTCACAGACTTATCAGGGTAACCAAGAATCTATGCAAAATACCCTATTATCTATTCTATTTTACTTCATTTAAAAAAATGGTATCAACCCACCAAATTGACTTCCTTAGACCATGCTTTTCAGCAGTTTTATGGTTCTGAACAGAGAGGTTGATTCTTTTGATTGTTAAGTAAATAAAATGTCTGGAGTTCAAGAAATCAAATTTGAAAGATGAGAATCCTTTGATTTTTAGAAATATGTCCTAATTTTGTTGTAAATATTAACTTTTCATGTGTAGGCAGGATGCTTTTGGTGCTAGTTGTTAGTTTTTTTCTGATTTCTAGGAGGGTAATAGGATAAGAAAGAATTTTCTAAATGGTGATTTCTTTTCTTTCTGCAGCTCTCATGTGTGAATATAAGTCTAGTGCATCATTAACCTAACGACCTCACCAACTGGAATTTACAGTTTTTACCATCAGCTCACCTTATCCTTTTTTGTGTGGTTCTTTTCTTCAAACAGTGGAAACATCTTTCTTTCAAGTTGCTTTTGGTGTGGAATTAAGCAAATGGCTGATAGTGGCATTGATAAAAAGTCCGCAAAATGCTCCAGGTGTTCATCTGCTTCTCAGAAAAATGTACTTTGTGTATGTTCCTGTAGAACAAATGCTTCTCCAATTTCAGTGGTGGAAATGTCACAGACATCAAGCATTGGTAGTTCAGAATTTGTGGTTTCACCAGAGAGAACAAAAGAAAAACAAACCAGCAAAGATATTGCCTCTAGAAAAGATTTGGTAAATATCAAAGATTCTACATCTCAACACAAGTTGACATCCCATTCCCTAATCCTATCCCTAGCTTCATCCATATCCCACAGGCCCTTGTCAGCTAACTCATTGCCTTCTTAACTATCAAGGGAACATTTCTTTTTTACATAAGAGGTGAGCAAAGTTGGTTAGTAATTTCTTTTATGATACTTCCAACCACTGCCCAAATTAATTACTTGCCAAGATTGTGCATAATTTGGAATGTTATTCCAGCTTCTTTTTTTTAATGGTTTATACAGAAATGAATTGATTTTCAAGTTGAATTAATCTGAATTTTTGGGCATTTTCTTCAACTGATGCAGTATGAGACTTACTGTTGTGGTTAAATATAAGGTGGTTATTATTTAAGACAATTCCTGATTATGTAGATGGAATATCAAATATACTTTACAAAATTGATTTGCATTAGTTACAAACAATCTATGACTACCTGGGTGGACTGGTTTGGATGTGTTCACCTTTGTAGAGAAGAAGCAGTGCGGAAGATTATAATTGATATAGCACAGCTTTGAAGACAGAGAGGAGTAAATTTAAGAAAAGTTAGATTCGCAACCCTCAAAGTTGGACCTTTTTCAAATTTTCTCCCTAAACTGTTATTTCTAATTTGTATTACAGTATAGTTATTGACATATAGGCATCTCTGAGTAAGTTGTTACTATGTTATTTTCGTTTGAAGCGTATTTTATGAATGTCTGGCCAGTAATTTTTAATGTATAACCTATTTGAGATGATTGTTATGTTTTAAAACAAGGGTGATTAAGAAAGCTGTGAAGTTGCCTTATCATTATTTTAAAGAATCATTGGGTAAGTTCTGATGTATCCGCTATGCAGGTATCCTGTAGATTTGCCTGGATTCAGATTAGATAGAGTGACTTCGTAAGGTCTCTTTTAGCCTAATGAGCCAATAAATCATATAGAGCTTAGAATTTGAAAAAGACAGTAAACTGTCTTGTACACAGTAAATATCATGGCACATGGTAAAGATTTGTCAGATTATCTAAATTAGGGTTCTTACTTTGTCAACAAGTGTATTATATCATAAAATTAATATTTTTATTCCTTTTTGGTCCAAGCCATCAAGAACCTCAAATGTAGAGAGAAAAACATCTCAACAACAATGGGGTCGGGGCAACTTTACAGAGGGAAAAGTTCCTCACATAAGGATGGCCAATGGAGCTGCTATTCAGGTATGTAGAAAGCAAACTGAAGCTGCTAGGAACTTGCAGGTTTCTTCTAAGTCAATGATTAATGGCAAAAATGATTTAAAATAAGTCTCTAAGGAAAGAAAGGAAGAAATTTACCATTTTCAGGTTTGTCAAAATCTTTACTAAAGAGAATTCAGACTAATTATTTTTTCTCTTCATAGAGGGCCAAATGGACTTTAATTCAAGTGGAGGGCATTTTTCTTAGATAAAAGGAGAACATTTCAGTCTTCAGGTCTTGCCTGTTGCTGAGGGCAATCGTGGAGTCTTTGTGTAGGCCTCTTCAAGACGCACAGAGACCAGATGACTTGAGATGGTTTGGCTGTTCACTTCCTTGATGACTGGTAGTGAGGCCAGAATTTCCCTCTTGGATCCCCTCCATTTTTTGCAGCCTGTGATTGGATGAATACCGATTATTATTCTTCCCAGGGTTCTCATTATTATGTACAAATATGAATTAAATATTAGTACCATTTTAGAAATTAAAATGTGTTCCTTTAACATCAGATTAAAGGAACCACAACAAGAACAACTACAAGGAGAAAATTGTGTTAACGTTAAATAACTTTAAAAAAATGGTTTTAAGAGATATTTGATAATTTACTTGAAGTGATCAGAAGAGCTTCCTGAGAAATTCTGACTTGAAATGTTTAAATCTCCCCCTTTGAATAAAAGGCCTGTATTTTTTTTTAAAAATCCACAAATTTACTGAGTTTTAAATTTAGCCATTAGAGCTTTTGTAAAATCAAAATGTGCTCTCTGTGAAAAATTAGGAAAATATAGATAGAAAAGTGAAGAAAATAAAATTGTGAGCCAGTTATAACCAATTGTAAAGTTTATTACCTTTACTTGATTTTTTGTGTGCACATCTAAGTCTTATCCTATTTTTTTATTTTTATTTTTTTCCTATTTTAAATTGTGAAATATTTCAAATATATTCATATTTTTAAGAAATAACCTTAACTAGTATAGTTGAAGTTTCTCTTCCCCCAGTAAATGGACAGGCTCATTTTAAAGATTTTAAACATTTCAGAAGAGTATAAAAAGAGAATTTACAATCATCCAAAATTCTACTACCCAATGATAACTACTCTTAGTATTTAAATGAACATCTTTCCAGACATCACTGTAAGCACCCCCACATACACACGTTTTTGTAATGGAGTCACATCATGCATGCTTTTACACTCTACACTGTGTCATGGACTTCTTCTGTGTCAATAAAAATAGATCTACATTACCATTTTAATAGCATCTTCTTAAGATTGTTACAAACAAGAAGTCATTTTCTCCTTATTTTCACCACTATGTAATGATGTTACAGTCATAGCTGTTAGTTGAAGAAAGAGATTAGTTTATAAAAAACTAGTTGGGCAGTTGAGCTATTCTTCTACCCATTCCTCATTTTAAAAATCCTATTTAAACAATTAAAATACTGTGTCCAAGTTGTGGTTCTGTATGTTTAGAGAGAAAATGAGAGTTCAGTTTGTAAAGGACAAGAAAAATTGGAGAAATTGTTATGGAGTTGAGATTATTTTGTTCTGTGGGAAAAAAAGGGCAAATGACATTTAAGTTGAGATTTAACTCATTTTACATAACATATGGTTGGGAGTTGCATGTAAGTATAATAACAATAGAATGTTTTGTCTTATTTTAATCATGTTAGTTTTCTGCTTTGATTCTCTCTGTTAAGTGATGGGGGGAAGTGGGAGGAGCCAAAGTAAGTATAAATCATCAGAAAGCAATGTCTTGGGGACAGTCACCTGGGCAGGATGCACCCTCTGTGAGTCTAGGAGTTGCCATTCGCAACATTCACGACCCTAAGTCCGGATCTCCTCCTCTAGGGTTCAACTCCCATACCCAGTCTGTCACTTCTCTCAAATGTGTGTATATATAGAAGGAAGGTTCCTGACTAGCTGGCTAGCCTGCTGACTGGATTTATTGATTATTCATTCATTTATCAGTTCACTCATTCATTCCGCATTTGTGCTGCTATTCATTTGGAATGCCTTCGTTGACTTGCTTGGATTATAGAAAAAAATTCTCAATATTTTTTTGCCTTTGTTCCCTCACATGACAATCTTAGAAGCCACCTCTTAATATTTTCCTTATTCTTCCAGTATTTTAGCTTTGGTCTGTGGCCCCATTGTCATTTTGTATTTTTTTTTTTTTAACTTAAGACTTTGTGATTTAAGTAATAATCTCATCTCTTGAGTAGATTGCAAATTTTGAGAAAATAGGAATTGTTTTTTATTCATCTTTGTAGTGCCCAAAGTATATATCACAAGGAAATATCTAAGGAAAGTCTAACATGTTGAAGCTGAACACTTCCTTCTTCTTTTCTTTTCTTTTCTCTCTCCCTTTCTTTCTTTTTCTTTTTCTCTTTCTTTCTTTCTCTCCCCTTCCCTTCCCCTCCCCCCACTTCTATTTCTTTCCTTTCCCTTCTTTCTTTCCTTTTCTCTCTCTTCCTTCCTTCTTTCCTTCACTCCCTTCCCTTCCTCCTTCCTTTCTCCTTTCCCCTCCCCTGCTCCCTTCCTTCCCTCTTTCCCTCTCTTCCTTCCTTCTCCTTTTCCCCTCATGCACTAAGTACAAATATTTTCCCTACAAGGTTTCAGGATAGGCTTTTTAAAGGATACAAAAGTAATAGCTTCTTAAGGAGCTTCTAGACCATCTTGGAAGAAAAAAAATGAGCCAAAATGTTTGTAAGCAAGAGAGTAATAATAGTGTTTAAGGACTAATGCATACATGTTGAAGGAAGTCAAAATAAAGGGACAGTCAGTGTGGTGCAGAGTTAGGCAGGGAAACCCTTCATGAAGGAAGGAAGTAATTAGTTGGGCATTGAATCTTTTACGAAAGTAAGAAAGGAAAGTAAGCAGCAGAAAATATAAAGACTAGCAGCTAACTTACCTGTTGCATGGTGAAGGAGAGACAGAGTGGCATCCCTAGGGAGGGCTTTGGCTGGCTGACCCATCGGAGGCTTCACCTAGTGGCATTACTTTAGCTCTTCTCTCATGTTCTAGTCCCCATCATGGTGGGTCCAGAAACTCATGTTAATGCCCTGGAGTTGATTTGGATCAGGAAGCCTGACTCCCCTCAACTAAATTCACAAGAAATAGAAGTATAAATGAGTTACCTGTTTGTTATTTTACAATGTGAACCAGAATGCTGGTGTTGGCAATCCAGTGTCTTCTGTCTTTGTAAGCAGAAGGTAAATGATAAGCGGAAGGATTCTTGGTCTGGATAGTGTTACTATGGATAGTTTTTATTGTCTTCTCACTGTTGATTTATATTAAAATTTCTGTCACATACTGCTTTCCCTAAAACAAAAGGAATAAAACAACAAAAGCCATTTTCGGTAGAAACAATGAAGATAAAGAAAAAGTGTTACTTAGTAAACGAGAAAGCAGTTTGTTCAGTGGTTAATATGTGTTGATTTTATAGTATAGCTCTCAGAGTTTTGGGATAATTTTTTGGGTGAATGTGTTTTATACACACAACCTATATGTAGTAATATTCCATTCCTCCTTTTTCTTATGAAGATATTTCATTAATATTGTAATTTGTAAGAGATTCATTTTTATACTTTTGAGGTTTTCCACATTTCCCCATTAGGATTTTTATGGTTTTCCTCTAAAGGACATTTAATGAAATTCATCAAAACTTATTTTGGGTTGATTGAGATGTGTTTATTAATATTAAAACAAATATGTAGTGTCTTCTATTTGATTTTACCCTGGAGCAGACTCTCTCTTCCCTTGGGTGGGTGTCTGTCAGTATCATGTGTTCATTTTTAATACCTGGTAAATGGCAGAGAGAGAGAAAGGAACTCTTATTTTTTATCCAGGAAATCTATACCTTTGGAAGAATATTGGGACAAGGGAGCTTTGGAATGGTCATTGAAGCTACAGACAAGGAAACAGAAACTAAGTGGGCAATTAAAAAAGTGAACAAAGACAAGGTAAGGCTTATCAGCGTCATCAGACTGAGAGCCCAGGGCCAGTGCAGGGTAGGGAGGCAGGACGGTGTCTCACCAGCACAGCTGACCCTGAGGGCCAGGGCCTGGGCTGCTTCCCTGAGAAGTGTGGGCATTTCTCTAGCCTTCTGGGAAGGGACCAGTCCTTGAACTCAAGTAGCCAAGTGCTATTTGGAAAAAGCACATGAAAGGATTAACATAACCAATATAACCAAATCTAGGTCACATGAAAGGATTAACATAACCAGTATAACCAAATCTAGGTCAGGTTTACCAGAGTGAACTGAAGGGAAGGGCTGATGGTCAGTATGTGTAGATGTAGGCCTATGGGCTAGAGATGTCCTAGCTGGAAGTACGTCCCAGTATCTCTCCTGATAATGCTTCTGATGTACTTTTCTTCTATTCTCTCCTTTCCTCTGAGTCCCTATTTCCTCATTGTTAGCTAATTCTGTTCATCCTACCTGCTCTTTCAGTTTGGACCACTTTTCCCCCAGCTGTCTACTATACTATTTACTTGTATCCACTGTTTTCCTCACTGAGTTTCTCCTGGCTTGGAGAATGACTGGGCTTCTCTTTAAGGGGGAATCTAAGTCCTCAGGCTTTACACCTAATCATTGCATCAACTTTTTAAAAATTTCTGTGCCTGGGAAAAAACAAAAGACAACGTTATGCTGGTTTTGGCTTGGATTTGTAATAATAAACATTACATTTGCAAAATAAAATAATAGATTTTATATAGTCTTTAAAACAAATTACATACCATCTGTCTCTAAAGTTTAATAAAGTAACCTATAAATCTTAACAAGGGGAGATCCGGAGCCTTTCTAGAAATTTTAGAATTCTACAACCACAGTGCTGCACGGGATGTTATTTCCTTTGCCCTTTTGGTGTCGGGTAGTTTTAGGGGTTAGGTTTTAGGGTTATATGGTCAGGAGACCTGTTTCCAACCTTAGGAATTCATAATCTTACACTGACATATTGATGCTGAGAGTTTATAGGACACTAAGATAGTAAAATAAAATTGTATAGTCAGTATATGAATTGGACAGTATATTGCTGCATTATATACAGGTCAAGCCATTTGGGGAGAATTGAGATGGATCTTAGGAGAAATTGTGGTAACTTTCCATATCTAGTCTAGGCAGGAATTCACTCCTCACGGTCACTTTTTCTCTTGACCGTGTAGGATAACCTTAAAATGTGACTTCATCCTACTTGTGTGGGGTATAGTGGGTGGGCAGTTTCCTGCTCACTCCTGAGATGGTAATGGTTGTTGGAAGCAGGGATGACCCTAGGTAAAATTTTCACCAGGTAGTTTGTCTTACTATCAATCCCTTTCCAGTCCTTTAAGAACTATTGTGTACTCTCACAAACTTGGGGTGGGAAGGGGAAGGAGGGAAAGATAAGACCTTTGTTATGCCTTTCTGGGATGTTTTTATGTGAATGAAGACAATGCTTATCCTCAAATAATGACGATAATTTAGGTATCAATGATGATTGGTGGGTAACAATTGGGTAGTTGTGGTGAGGGTGGAGAAAGCCCTTCTAGAATTTCTTAGATGACATTGTAGAAAATCAATTACCTATGCCTGATTGAAGGCCTTGTGCTCCCTGGAGTGCTCCTGCCTTTACCTTTTGTTGTCAGGATGGTTAAGGGTTACATGGAAGGCAGTGAAATTGGAGTTAGGTTGGTGTGAAGGCAAGATCTCTCTCTCTCTCTGTTAATTTTTGAAGTCGGGGCACTAGGAAGTGATATAATGCAGCTCTAAGTGTAGAATCTTACTGCCTGTTATTTCTTTTGATGTATAAATATAATCAAAACAAAATAAAAGAAAAACATCGTGTTTTTATCTTCTCCAATCTACTTCTTCTGAAAAGTAGCCTTTGTTTTTATTATACTAATATCAAAGGATCAACATGATTTTGAAGGAAATACTAAGAAGCATATTAAAAATTGGAATAATTTTGTGAGGGGACAGAGACCATGTAGGAGCTAATTTATAGAAATAGTCCAAGAAACAGATGTGGTTTGAGGCCAAATTATATATAACCGAAAATTGGACAAAGGAAAGAAGGGGCATAATTTAATCTTATGGAAATAAGTTGCATGTTATTTTTTGAAAAAGAAACTTCTCAAGAAAATATAGGAAAAAATATAAAATAACTATAACTTTTATATGGAAGTATGTGGTAGTGATAGTCATATGTGAAATCGACATTTCCTCATTATTTAAGGCTGGAAGCTCTGCTGTGAAGTTACTTGAACGGGAGGTGAACATTCTAAAAATTGTGAAGCATGAGCATATCATACATCTGGAACAAGTCTTCGAGACGCCTAAGGTAAGTCTTGATCAGGTGCTGCATTTTGAAAGTTGTTACAAAATGCACACCATCTCCTTCTGAAGTAGTCCCTTTGCAGCACAGTCGCTCGTGTCCTTGGCATGAGTCTGTCATTGGAGACTGATGAGAGCATTCTGGGGGACTTTTATTATTGATTGTATAATTAGGTGTCTGATGATTAGATTGATGTCTTTAGTGATGTTTCTGGGTGGTGTGTTGAAAACAAATGTTTGAAATGGAAACAACTTCATACACAACTGATTAGAGCTTCCTTAAAGGTGGCTTTCCTTTTGCTTTGGTCCTTGGTTTCTCCATTGGAGTCTCTTGGCATATTGTTGTAATTTTACAAGGTTAGCTTTATAATAAAGTTGGCAAGGGTATCTGTGGCACTGTGTAGAAGATATTTTGTTGTCTGTGTCTTAGCAACATGTTTAATCTTCCTTCTTCCCTAGAAGTTATCATTCTTCTCTTTAAAGGCCTGTAATTTTAATTTAGAGTTGTTCTGAAGCCTGGGTTATTTGCCATTCTGCCTCCAGGTTGGTTAGTGCCTGTGGGCTTGGGTGTTTCTCTGCTTGGAGGCAGTATAATATAGTGGTTAGGCATGTGGACTCGGGGGTCAGATTGCCTACGCATTTGAATCCTGGCTCTACCACTTATTAGCTATAAGACCATGACAAGTTACTCAGCCTCTCTATTCTTCAGTTTCCTCATCTGTAAAATGGGTATAATAGTATCAACCTCATTTGGTTGTTGAAGGATTAATTGGGAAAATGGATATAAAGCATCTGTCTCATTAAATGTTAGCTATTAGTCTTTGTGTCCTTTGCCAGTCTCGAAGGCAGTAATAGTCAGTTTGGGTTATGCATTATGCTTGATTCATTAAGAGTACTTAAAAATTAATAACTATTAAAAACCACAGTTATCCTTTATGGGAGCACTTTATGGCAATGATACCAAAAGTCTTCTCTACTCTTCTTTTCAGTGTTAGAGTTGTGATTTCTTTTATCCCCAAATCTTCTTAGAACAATTTTGCTCTGTATCATCAGTTTTAAGCAATTTGATTCTGTTGTGCCCTGGTGTAATTTTCTTCATGTTTCTTGTGTTTGGGGTTCATGGAGCTTCTTGGATCTGTGAGTTTATGGTTTTCATCAAATTTAGGAAATTTTTGGCCATTATTTCTTCAAATATTTTTTCTGCCTTCTCCCACTTTGGGGACTCCAAGTACACATGTCATTGTTCACAGCTTACAGATGCTCTATTCATTTTTTTCAATCTTTTTTCTCTCCTTATTTCATTTAGCATAGTTTCTATTGCTGTTTAGCATAGTCTTCAGATTCAATAATCTCTTTTTCTGTAGCATCGTATGTGCTATTTATCCCTTCCACTGGAAATTTGATTTGGATCTTTTTTGTATCTTCCATATTTCTACTTAACATGCTCAATGTTTCCTTCTTCTTCTTAAATATAATTATAATAACTTTTAATGTCCTTTTCTACTAATTCCATCGTGTGTGTCATTTCTAGGTCAGTTTCGATTGATTTTTTTCCTTCATTATGGGTTATATTTTCTTACTTCTTTATATGCCTGTTTATTTTTGATTGGATGCTGCATATTTTTATGTTCTTATGACTATTCTTAAGCTTTATTCGAGGACATAGTTAAGTTACTTGGAAAAAAGTCTGATACTTTGAAGCTTGCTTTAAGCTCTGCTAGGTGGAACTAGAGCAGCCTTTGGTCTAGGGCTAATTTTTTCCTACTAATGAGGTAAGACCTTTCTGAGTACTCTTCCTGATGCCCCATGAATTATGAGATTTTTCCATTCTGGCTAGTGGGAGTACAGACTCTTCCTGGCCGTGTGTAAGCTCCAGTGACCATTCCCTCTGCCCCTTGCTCTGTCCCAGCTTCAGGTAGTTTGTTCATACACATGCGCTCATCAGTCCTCTGCTGAAGACTTGAGGGGGACCCTCTGCAGATCTCTTGAGCTTTCTCTGTACACAGCTTTCTCCTCTATGGTACTCTGCCCTGGGAACTTTAGTTGTCTTGGCCTTCCTGGACTCCTGCCTCTGTCTCCTCAATTCATGGAGACTTCTGGGCTCTGCTTGGATTCCCTCCCCCTGCTCTGTGGCCTGGAAACTCTCCAAACTATAAGCTAGGATATTTGTGGGGCTTGCTTCATGTGTTTCCCCTCTCTCGGGGGATCACTGCCCTATGCTGCCTGATGTGTAATGTCTGAAAATTGTTGTTTTATATATTTTGTCCATTTCTTAAGTTGTTTCAAGAGAGAGAGTAAGTCTGGTCTCTGTTACTCTATCTTGGACACAAGTGGGAGTCCAAATCTAGAATAGTTTGAAGGCAAAGGAATCCATCATCTGTGACTGTCTTTCTTATGTATTGCTTGCCCTTGATTCATGTAGGTCAGATCTGCCTCCGTTCCTCCCCAACTCATGCAAATGCCTAGACCTCCCCTTGAAGCCATCTTAAGGATTAATGGAAACTGCTACCTGATTGGTTAGGCCATAGTATTAATATTGATCATCCAGTCTGACTATATTATAGTTTTTTCTGAGTCCAAGTGTTCTCCAGATCTATACAATTATTTTTAATAATTATAAAAAGACTTTTAAGAAACTTTTGATAGAACTTTTATCAACTTACGTATTTTAAATTGACATCAATTTGTGTTGTAAGCACCATTAATTTAAGTTTTCCTTCCAGAGAGTTCACTTACCATTTCATGTACCAGTGGTCCCTACAGTGCTGTCAGTGGAAAAATATGGCCTAGTTCAAAAGCCTATTTTTGTGTTAGACTTTGCAGAATTCTCTATTACTTTTGAAATTCTAAAGCATCCTGAGGTTTAGTGAATCACAGTTTTGACTATAGGGAGAAAGGGTGTTAACCTTCTTTTCCTGTCTTCATGCTTGCTGATTGAATGCAGAAGCTGCATTAGTAGTGGTTACAGAATAGAATCAGACCCCCAAATCTTAACAACAACGAAACTCTAGCAGCATAGGATAGAATGGAGACATGGAGGGTAGTCTGTGTCTGAATAGCAATAGGTATGAAAAAGATTTGCATTTTAGTTGACTGAATCTTTTTGACTCAATAGATAACTTGCCCTTTGGAATACCTCAAGTGATCTTAATATGCAGCAAGAGAAACAGAAAATATGGAAGAGGCATTTCATCCACGGTTTTTTACCACTCATAGCCAGTTAGTCGCTAAGTCCCACTGTTTCTTCCTCCTAGGTATTTTTCACATCTTTCTCTTCTTCCCCTTCTTGTCTCCATTCTGTGCCTCGCATCTATGCTCTGTATACAGAGATCAGCCTACTACAGTGTGCGAGCTGGATCTGGCATGCTGTCTATTTTTTTACGGCCCATAAGCTAAGTTTTTTACATTTTTAAATGGTTGAAAAAAATGTAAAAAAGTAATATTTCATGACATATGAAAATTATACGAAACTAAAATTTCAAAGTCCATAAATAAAGTTTTGTGGTATTGTTTATGGCTGCTTTTATGCTATAACAGCAGAGCTGAGTACTTACAAGAGAGATTGTATGGCCTGCAAAGCTGAAAATATTTACTATCTGGGTCTGGCCTTTACAGAAAAAGTTTGCTGAGCCCTGCTTTACATTACTGTTAGAGTCTTCATTTAGAAATGAAAAATTGGTAATAGTATACACTTTCCCCCCATACTCCAGACACCAGCTTAAAAGTCTTTAGTGACTTCTTACTGCACGTGGAAAAAAATCCAAACTCCTTTGCATGATGTCCAAGACTTTACAACCTGGCACCAACCTGTTCTTTCTAGCCTCACCTTTCACTACTCCAGGCTTTTCTGTCCTACCAAACTCCCAACAGTATTAACACTGAGACATTTCTTATTCTTTTAACAGCCAGGGCTGTTTCAAGCTTTGGAGTCTTTGCAAATATCATGTATTATGCTTGTTCTTGCCCATATTCTTTGCCCATAACTCCCTATTCAGTCATCCAAACCTACCTTTAATGTCACCTCTTTAGAGAGCATTCTTTAGGCAGAGGCTCCCCTCCTCTGTACCCTGATGGCATTTGGGGCATTCTTCTTCTATTAGCGCTTTTCACCTGATGTTGTAATTATAACTGTACTGTGAGCTTCTTGAGGGTAAAAACTATGTCTATACTTCCTTATTCCTTTAGCATCCTGCACAGTGTCTTGTATATGATAGATAATATATATTTTTGAATGAAAGATTGATGGTTAAGATTGTGATATTTCCACTATGTGTATGCAATATATAACATTTTAAAGATCTTCAACTATATAATTTGCTCTCTCTTTCTTTTTTTAAATATATAATGTCAGAAAATGTACCTTGTGATGGAACTTTGTGAGGATGGAGAACTCAAAGAAATTCTGGATAGGAAAGGGCATTTCTCAGAGAATGAGACAAGGTGGATCATCCAAAGTCTTGCATCAGCTATAGCATATCTTCACAATAAGGGTAAGAAGATGATCATCCAGCTCATTGACTCCATGAATGCAGATATCACTTTTGTTTGAGGGTAATTGTATTCAGGATTTATAGTCACAGAAATAATGCCTACTAATATAGAAGATTTTATTTAAAAATTTTTTCAAAACTTTTTTCCGGGGCTGGCCCAGTGGTGTAGCGGTTAAGTGCACGCACTCTGCTTCGGGTTCGCAGGTTTGGATCCCGGGTGTGGACCGATGCACCGCTTGTCGAGCCATGCTGTGGCAGGTGTCCCACATAAAATAGAAGAAGATGGGCACGGATGTTAGCCCAGGGCCAATCTTCCTCAGCAAAAAGAGAAGGATTGGCATCGGATGTTAGCTCGGGGCTACTCTTCCTCACAAACAAACAAAACTTTTTTCCTTTTTAACTTTATTTGTACAGTCTTGCTCCGTATAACAACATTTCAGTCAACAACGGACTGCAAATATGACAGTGGTCTCATAAGACTAGCACGATACAGCCTAGGTGTGTAGTAAGCTATACCATCTAGGTTTGTGTAACTACACTCTATGATGTTTGCACAACGATGAAATCGCTTCACAACATGTTTCTCACAATGTATCCTCATTGTTAAGCGATGCATGACTATAGATATATTTTAATTAGAAACAAGGCACGTATACAATTACTTTGTACACAGACAGGGATGAACTTATGAGCATTTCTATTCAACAGTTTGAAAAGCAGCTAATATTATCAAATCAAAAGTAGACAAATCAATAATAAAAGTGAAATTTCTAAAAATACTTATATATTAATAATAACATTAAAAAGTCTATATATTCTAGGATTTTTTTTGGTTTTTATTTTCCTCCTGCTCCTCCCTTTTTTTCTTCAAGGTTGATTTGTTTACATGTGACTTTAGAACCTTCTCATTTTGTGGATGAGAAAAACTTTATTCCAGGGAGGGGCAGTGATATGGTTAGGTGTGGCAGGGCTGGTCCTGGAACCTAGGATTCATTCAGCAGATATTTTCTGAGCACCTATTACATTGTGGTGGGTCCTAGAGTTACAAAGATTAAAAGACAAGGCCTCTGTCCCTCAAGGAATTCAAGCTAGTGGGAGATTGAGTATAGAAAACAATTGTAATGCAACATGTTAATTTCTCTATTGGAGAGCCATATAAAGTGCAAGGATCTTGGAAGTGTAAGTGCCTCATTTGATTTGGAAAGTCAGGGAAGGATTCACAGAGGAAGAAAAACTTGAGCTGAGGAATACAAACTCAGACACAAAAAGGGAGGGCTTTCCAGGCTGAGGGTGACAGTTTTGCAAGCACGGGAAGACAAAGGCTTAATATTATGCTAATGTCAGTTTTGCCACATTAAGCTATAAATTCTGTATAATGCCAAACAAAATCTTAATAGGATTTTTCATAGAACTTGATATCTGAAATGGGTGAGAATAGCAAAGAAAACAATGAAAAAGAAGAACAATGGAGGCAGCAGTAAGACTTGTCCTGCCAAGGACCAAAACATATTATAAAGCTATATTGATTAAAATTGTGCAGTATTTATGTAAGAAGAGATCAGCAGAGCAATAGAAACAATAAAATTTCCAAAAACATAGGATGGGAGCTGTGTAAGGGAACTATAAATGGTTAGGTATAATTGCTAGTCCAGGGCTCATTCAACTACATTTTTCCACCAATTATACATATAACTTTTCAAGTCTAGGGAAATGATTGCTGTGGATATGAACTGAATCAGTTATTTGCAAAGGAAGTATTTGATACATGATTATTTGCATGTACATAAAAGTCCTAGCTGAGGTCTGACATGTTCAACTGGAGATTTTGTGTCTCAGGGGTTTTTGTTTGTTTAGTTTAAAAGTGTGTGCTGATGTTGTAGAAAAACATACTGAAATAAGTGTAGTTTGTGTACATGTGGCCAAGTTGCAGTATGTTAAATGTTTATATTGGGAACAACATATGCATAGGAGTAAAGGTGTAGTCCTCTATTTGAAGACGTACCTGAAGACATGGGAGACCTTATTGGGCTTGTAACTACAATCTACAATTATCTCCCTCCTCCTGGAAATACTTAACCTTGGAATACTCACCGGGCTGAGTCATGAAGGATGGCAAGTTGGGGCAGCAGGGGAATGGAGAGAGATGAGGGAGTCAAAGAAAATGGCTCCTTAAGGTTAGAAATGTGGGGAAAAGAGATTTGAATGTAAGGGAATGGAACAGGGCAGACTTACATTTCGCCCTCCTCAAATGTTTCAACAGTAGACATTAATTTGTCAAATATATTTATTTGTTCTATTGGTGTCCCCTCTAATTATTTTTCCATTATTCATTTCATTAATGTGTTTTTTATTTTCTTGGTAGATATAGTACATAGAGATCTAAAACTGGAAAACATAATGGTTAAAAGCAGCTTTATCGATGCTAACAATGAAATGAACTTAAACATAAAGGTAAGGTACTAGAAATAGTGTTTGCCTATATTTGCCTATAAATTGATAGCAAAGTGGTAAAGTACATTCTCTTTTTAGGCACATTTTGGAAGCTTTTGAGCAGCCAGAAAATAAGTGGCTTGTGCTAAAAAAATTAAAATTTCACAAAAGAGGCTGTAACTGACAAGAATAATTTTACAAGTTAAGTGGTGCTACTGAATTTTTTTTAAAGTACATATATATTCCTTTGGATAGTTCTTAATCATTAGTTAATAGGAAGCAAACAGATGCTCTGAATTCTAATTAATTTCAAAATTATGCCTGATAATTTGATGTAAATGTCTTATAGATTTAGAGAAGAACACACCTTGGTTGTGCCTCTGATACAAAATTAATGCTAAAGTCTGTATTTCTCATTGAAAATTTTCCTGGGTATTAATATTTATGTCCTAAGCACAAGTAATGTGCTCAGTGTTTATTCTTGAAGGCTTTATTCAAATTAAGTGTTCCTTAATGTCAAATAAATGATAGGATACATTATTTATTACTTAACACTTTAATAGTGGCTGCTTTCAAAATATATGAATGTGCTAATTTAGGAATAAAATGTTGTCTGTGAATAACTCGCTCTGTTGTGGAAGCTAAATCTCTATATAGTATAAGTAGGTTTAACAGTTTTGTTGTTTTACCCGAGTAAGTGTTCTTGAATAGTTCCGTTGTAAACTCCACGAGGGCAGGAATTACGTGTGTCTCATTCATTGTTGGCAACTGGAGCAGTACCTGAAACATAGTATGTGCTCAGTTAGTATTTGGTGAATGAAGGGATAAATGCTCTCCAAAGAACTGAATTGGATCATGAAATCTTTTGTATATTTTATATCTGTATAGATTTTCTATAGAGAAGGATATGTATCATAATGCTCCAAGTGGGGTAATTGTGAAACCTCCTGGAGAAAGTGATTAATCTATTTAGAAAAATAGTGACATCACATGTCGATAGGAACATTCTCTTACTCCATAAGGCCCTGGAAACTTTGCATTCGGTGTCTGTGGACCAAGAGCCTATCTTCGGTTGTATGATCAATAAATGTGCCTGTTTTTCTGATTTGAGCCCAACGCTGTTCCTACATGGGAGACAAGACCAAGGGGACATACTGAATATTTAATAACCAAATGTTTAATGACCAAGACTTAGAACTGAGCACAAAGACTGCAACTGCAGCATGAGGCCTCCAGTTTATTTGAGTAATGCTGGTTTTTTTCCTGTTAATTTGCTTCTCATAGTTTTTAATAATATAGTAATTGTTTTAATTAGTATACTCTAGAAACACAAAGGAAATAATAGCAAAGAAAAGATAGTATTTACAGGAGAGAGTGTTTTATAAATAATTTTAAAAATGGGGAGTTTCCTTGAATGCTGACAAGGATAATGACTTGCATTTATAACAGTGCTTTAAACTGGAACATAGCTTGAGAATCAGAAAAATAGATAATAAACATACTAAGGCCAGAACACATTTTACAATGAAAGGGATTTTTTAAAAATAACTTTTTCGTCTGAAAAAATTTAAATATCTTCTTCAAGATAAAAACTTCCTGTGTTGAACCGGTGAATTTAATTAGAAGGAATGAACAATCAACATCATGGCTGTTTTCTCAACATTTGAGAAACCAAGCTTCTCTTTACTAAGTTTCTTCTTCACAAAGAGGGCTGGGTGAGGAAGGAAAGCAAAGTCCTTGCTAGTAATACAAGTAAAGGCCCTCCATCCTCAAGAATCCGTGAATTAAATACAATTACCATGTGGTGAAAATCCTACCTGCTGAATGAGCGACCACTGGGACAGGGAAACAGGTGACTTGGAGTTTCTCCTTCCAGGTGACTGATTTTGGCTTAGCGGTGAAGAAGCAGGGTTGGGGTGAAGCCATGCTGCAGACCACGTGCGGGACTCCTATCTACATGGGCAAGTAGTAGACTTAATTAACATGACTTTTCTATATAAAAAAGTAAAGCAACTAATGTGGATGAAAACTTGAGCAATTTGATTTTGCCATCATGACTTAATGGTCATGCTACTTTTTATTCTCTTAGGTCAAATAATTTCAGTTGTTTTAGCATTTTTCTCATAGTTCTTATCTTCAAAGATTGTAGTTTCTATTGTTTCTCTGGGCTCTTCTTATAGTTGTTTGTATCTCTTAGGTAATCATACCCCAAACTTAATTATTGTTTTTGTTAATCCATGCTAAAATCATATGTTTTGCTTCTTTCCATTTTTTATCCAATATCATTGCCATCAAATAGTTTTTCATAAAGAATACTGATTAAATATATTTTGTAAAGCAACAGTTTCCCATTTTTCTAAATGTGATTTTTAACAGCTTTACTGAAGTATAATTTAAAAATTATAAAAAATGTACCAATGATTTTTCATACATTCACAGAGTTGTGCAACCATCACCACAAACCAGTTTTAGAACAATTCTACCCCAAAAAGTTGCCTCATGCCCATTTGCACTCAGTCTCATTCCTGTCCCAGCCCAGGTAACTGCTAATCTTTTTGTCTCTCCAGATTCGCTTTTTCTGGGCATTTCATGGTAAACGGAGTCATACAATACATAGTCTTTTATGTCTGGCTTCTTTCACTTAGCATGTGTTTTTGAGGTACATCCTTGTTGTAGCAAGCATCTGTAGTCTGTTCCTTTATATTGCTGAACAGTTGTCCATTGTATGGATATGCCACATTTTGTCTATCCATTTATTAGCTGAAGGACATGTGGATTGTTTCCAGTTTGGGGCTATTATGAATATTGCTGCTGTGAACATTCGTGTACAAGATTTTATGTGGACATATGGTTTCATATGTGGCTACCTAGCAGTGAAATTGCTGGGTCATATATTATTTATGTTTAACTTTTTAAGAAACTGCCAAATGATTTTCCAAAGTGGCTGCAACATTTTACCTTCCCACTTAGCAGTATATGAGGGTTCCGGTTTCTTTACATCCTTGTCGACACTTGATATTAACTGTCTTTTTAACATAGCTATTTTAGTGGGTATGAAGTAGTATCTCATTGTGGTTTTTAATTTGCATTACCCTAATGACCAACGATGTTGAGCATCTTTTCATGAACTTATTAGTCATTCATATATCTTCTCTGATGAAATGTCTATTCAAATCTGTACCTATTGAGATGATCATATATTTTTTTCTCTTCAAATTTATTAATGAAATAATTACATTAATAGATTTTTTAAATGTTGAACCATCCTTGAAGTTTTGGATTAAACCCCACTTGGTTTAATATACTGCTCTATTCAATTTGTCACCACTTCATTTAGGAGCGTTGAGGGTAGCATGCTTTCTTTTGTGCTGCCTTTGTCTTTTTTGATGTTAGGGTTATGCTAGCCTCATTTAAAAAATAAAATATTTTCACTTTTTCTATGTTCATGAACCATTTAAGTAAACGGAATTGTCTATTCATTAAAAGTTTGATGAAATTTCCCCTTAAAATTTTTTGATCCTGGTACCCTTTAGGGGATGAAATTTCTATTATATTTTCAATTTATACTAGGTTATTCAAGTTTTCTGCATCCTCTGGAATCATTTTCATAATTTATGTTTTCCTAGACAGTTGTTTATTACACTGAGATTTTAAGCTTTATTGGCATAAATATGCATATCATATTCACTTATAATTTTCAGATTCTCCTGTGTATCTGTGGTTATATTCCCCATTCCTAATATTTTTTTAAGAAGGCAATATGATGCAATATTTGCAACACGGCCTCTGACATCACGTGGCTAGTTCAGGATTCCAGCTTGGCCACTTGCTCTCTGGTTAACCCTGGGCAAACAACTTAACTGCTTTTGTTGCAGTTTCTACATCTGTGTAATAGGGATTATGTCACTCATTTATCAAAAAATTTTTGAGGATCTACTTTGTGTTAGACACTGGTCTAGGTATTGGGAATACAACAGTGAACAAAACGTAAGAATGTCATGCTGGCACAAACATTAAACAAGGTAAAAAAGTAAAATATCTGGTGTGTTAGAGGTGCTAAGGAAGAAAAATAAAACAGGGAAGGGGAGAGGATGTATTAGGATGGTAATAATAATATCTTTCTTATCAGGGTGACATGAGAATTAAATGAGAAAATAGATATAAAGTGCTTAGCATCGTACCTGGCACTTAGTGCTCAATTTTAGCTCTTGTAATGGTACTAATCATTTTTTTCTTGATCAGATTTGATAGTGGTTAGGACAATTTTTTGGGCTTTCAAAGAACTAGCTCAAGTCTAATGTTATTTGGTTTACTTTTTCATTGATTTCTGTTTTTATCTTTCTGAATTCCTTCTTTTGGTTTATTTTTTAGCTTCCTAAGCTAAATGCTTATTTTCAGTCTTCTTCTTTTCTAATAAATGTATTTAAGACTAAATATTTTCCTCTGTGTACTTGTTTGATCATTTCTTTTGCTATGCAGTGTTCTAATGTCATTCATTTCTTAATAGTCTGTAATTTTAGTTTTAGTCTTCTTCTTTAATCCAAGAATTATTTAGAAGTGCTTTTAGAATTTTCCAGGTGGTTGGGATGTGTCTGATACTCTTGTGAATGTGTGTTAGATTTCCTACCCTTTTGGTTTTTCTTTCTGCTTTTCTTCACTGTAGCAGGCAGTTGTGCCTTAAAGGTTTTCAACTTGTAGGAATTTTCCTTGTGATTGAACACATGATTGGTTTTTGCAAATGTTGCATTGGATATTTAGAAAGTATATGTATTCCTAGCTTGTTGAGCATAAAAATTTCTGTGTATGTTTATAAAATCAAATGTGATAGCTCTGTGATTCAAACTTTCCATATTGTTAATTTTGCTTGCTGCTTCTGTTGGTTTCTAAGAGAGAAAGTTATTAAAGTCACCCACCAAGATAGAGCTTTGACAAATTCTTTTTGTACTTTTAGTAGGTTTCCAAAAAAAACTACTTTATTGAAATATAATTTACATATGATAAAATGCACAGATTTTAAGTGTAAAGTTTGATGAGTTTTGACAAATGCATGTACTTGCATAAACACCACCCCAGTGAAGATACTGAACATTTCTATCACCCCAGAGAGTCCTTTGTGTCCTTCAGTCACTCCCCCACCCAGACCCTGGCAACCACTGATGATTTCTATCACCTTAGCTTAGTTTTGCTTGTCTAGAACTTTATATAAGTTAAAATATACGGTATATATTCTTTTGCATATGTCTTCTTCTGTTCCATGTAATGATTTTGAGACTTACCCATGTTGTATCAGTAGTTTATTCATTTTTATTGCTGAGGGGTATATCTAACTCATTGTTTTTTTGCCTAGTTGATACATCAAGTTTTGAAATCATTTTATCTTATTTGGGAAAAGGCTACTTTAGATTCTGTTCATATCCTCCTATTGGCAAAAGACATCTGGTCTGTAGTTACATGGGGAAAATATATCCAAGCACCCTGAGTTTTGTGCCTGCTTATTAGTTGTCTACACTGATAGCAAGTGAGAGAATGAGAGAGAAGACAGATGGTTTGTAGAGCTTTGCTGACTTCCTAAATGGCTCCTTGGCACAGGTATTGCTTCTGCCTCCCTAGGAGAGCTGTGATGACAGTGCAAGTAGAAAGGCCCCTGATAATGAAGATGACTCTGAAAGAGTGAGGACCAGGAATTCCGGGCCCCTGCTGTGTGATACACCTACGTGGAGATCCTTCGTGAACTCTAATCAGAGAATTTGTCCTTGTCATAGGCACGTGGCCATAGAGAACTTGGACTTTAATGATTCAGTAAAGAGTTTACATAGAGTTAAAGAATACAAGTAGTTGCTCAAAGGAAAATGTTATTTAGTTACTTTTCAATGATTTAGAGACAGATTGCTCAGTTTGTTAATGATCTGTAGTTGAGCCTTTTCTCATTATTTCTTGTGTTTACCTTTTGACTCCTTTTTGTTGCGTGGTAGTTCCTTTGACAATAGGCAGAGGAAATGAAATTCCATTTGCTTTTAGTAGTTATAAAAGGTGTGTGTGTGAGTGTGTGAGTGGAGGAGATTGAAGCTTTTTCTAAAATAAAAACACCTTTTATGTGGGAGGTGCTTGGTAGCTGTGTAACTTTAGGCAAGTCACTTAATATATCTGAACCTTAGTTTTCCCACTGGTGGAGTGAGTCAAATGCCTACATACTTATCTCACAAGATTCTTAACATAGTTTATACAAATAACGTGATTTATATAAAAATACTTCATAAATTTTAAAGTTCTATTGGAATGTTTACATATATTTTATTTTTATGTTTATGACTGTTTTATTCTTCCTTTTTCCTTAAGGACAGATATTTGATCCCTAGCTGTAGAGGTACAATAGACATAGCCCTGAAATATCATATGTGACTTTTTGAAAAGCCTGCTGTTATAAAAAAAACGTAATCATTAAAAAATGCTACCTTAAAGTAAAAAAAAAAAGTTCTGCTTTGAAAAGATTGTTTAAAGAAAGATTGTGAAGACATGTAAAGTAAGAAGCACAGAGCTGGGGAGTCAGGAATACCTGGCTCCTAGTCCGTACCCTGTGACTGATTGGCGTTTTGATCCAGTTGTGTTGTAGGAACTCTCTCTTTGTCTTAGTTTTCTCATTTATAAAATGTGGAAAATAATTCTTAGGGTGTCGTAGGAGTGCTGCGATGTTATTATTATTATTGTTATTATTATTTTGCTAAAGTGATTTTTAACTGTTTACCTTAGTTTTTCTGTGAATCCAGATTTCTGCATATTGGGCTTGCTTTAAATTATATATACTTAAGGCGTGTTTTCAATTCTGTTTTTGGAAAAGAACTGAGATATTGTTGTCTTCTACTATAATTACGTGATCTTTGCAAAATCATTTCTTAACAATTTCAAAGGAATGAAGAGTAGTATATTTAGTTCTACAGTTTGTGCCATTGTTCCATTAGAGGCTAAATGACAGGAGTGAGGATTCAGTGACATTGGTTGTTAAGGCCCGTACATTATTCATTTAACATCTGCTGTTGGTTCTCTTTTTCCCTGTAGGGGAATAAATTACAACACATCAGCACATTTTTCATGCTTTGTGTTTAAGCATTTAAAAGTCATTTATTGTATTATTAATATTATTTTATTTTTGCTTGTTTGGCAGCCCCTGAAGTTATCAATGCCCACGACTATAGCCAGCAGTGTGACATTTGGAGCATAGGTGTCATAATGTACATTTTGTAAGTGCCTGCTAAATGTTCAGTTTAAAATGAATGCATGTAGTCTCTAACAGTAGAATTACATCGATTTTAAATTAAAACTAAACAATATAGTTTTTAAAAAGCGACTGAAAAAACAACTGGGAAGTCATTGTAAAAGCTCTCTTTTAGTTGTCAGGTACATTCATTAGGTATTTTTTTTAATACTATAAATTTATAACTTTCAGCTTTGCTTTTCATTGATCTATACATGCTACAATGCACTGTATGATCTGAGCACAGTGAAAGACTTGCCTTAAAACCTCTCTGATCCTTTGCTACAAACCAAAAGCTTCTTTGTATTTTCACAAGAGATTCACTTGCAGCCCATCAGGTAGAGGGAGGTACTGGGACCTGGTACTAGAGCTGACTGTGGACAGGGCATACGTGAGGAGTGGGCACTAACTGGACAGAAACTCAGCCCAGGATCCAGGGAGTGTCCTCGAGTTCCTCATTCTCTTAATGATCCTGAAGACGTCGGTCTTTCTTGCTCTTCCTTCTGTCTCTCTGAGGATTCAGTCAAATCCCGGGTCCTGTTCATTTTTCCTTTGAAGTGTCTTCACCTGTTCTTTCATTTCTTTTCACTTGTATCATTTCTCCTTATGAACCCTTTTCTAGAACATTACAATGTTTTTCTGACTGTTCTGTCTGCCTCTGGTTACCCTCCCTCATTCATCCTTCACGCTGCTGTCGGGGTTGTCTTTCTAAATCACAAATCTGATCGTACTACTTTCCTGATTAATAACCTCTGATAATTCACCTTTGCTGTAGAAAAATGTTGAGTGTCCCAGCATGGCATGACATAGCAAGTCTTTGCTGACCTGGCCCCAGCATGCATTTCCAGTCTTGGGCTAGGTGTGTGTTCTTATGCCACCCTGTGGTGTGGTCACTCTTTATGACTCAGACACACCCTGTATTACATGCCTCTGGGTCTTTGCTCATGCAGTTTCTTATACCTAGAATGTTCTTTTTCTTCTCTACTCACCTCTCTCCTGGGTGTGCCCAGCTCAAACATTAATGCCTTCTATTTCCCTAACTCCTACTCAACCCCCTAGAGTTACTACATTCATTAGGTGTATACTTTTCCAGAAAGATTTAAGGCTACATACAAAAATGCATGCAAAACAGTAATGTTGAAAGGAAAACAAAATAATAAAATACAAATATTTAACCAGCAAGCTTTGCACATGTGTAAATTTGATAGAATTAATTGTTCACTTTTCTGTATTCTCATAGCACTTTTTAAAACTAGATTATAATATGATTATTGTATTATATGTGTTGTATCTATTTTCCTTGCTCTAAATTCCATGAAGGACAGAGATCTTATGTTATTCATCTTTGCATCTCTAGTATCTGGTACAATAGTAGACATGTAGTCAGTGCTTAATATATGTTTGTTAAATTGAATTAAAGTGAATTGTCTAAGAAGTGTTCTGAAAAGTTAGTGGCCATTGTTCTGCCTCTTGGTGAATGTGAACATTTTTATGTTGATGCAACATCAGTTTTATGGTCATATTGAATATTTCATTGTGCACTACCTCTTCGAGATCATTTCTAAATATTGACATCACAGTAGTTACATTTTCACAGTTCTATGAAATGAAATACACAGGCAGTAGAAATTGGATGATGTGATTGTCACTGTAACTCAGATGGTCCACACACATCACTGCTTGGATTGTATAAAATATAAACTTATTCACAGAGTTTTTGGTCATTGTTTTGTGCTGATTAGAATCATATTGTAAAAATTCTGAGCCTTAGTCTTTAATTAAATATATAACTGTTTTAAATTAGTGTTTTATATTCTCAAGACTTTCTAGACAACACAAGTCAAACATAATATATGAAGTCTTATATTACACAATTCATGTGGTGTGGTGTTTGCTGCCTTCTTAGTTTGAATTTGGTGTTAAGGAAAGTTATAGTGTATTATATATCTTAAAATTTTTTCTCTTTCTTAAGATACTGTTTTAATTTTTCCGTTTCAGAGCATGGCTACATATAATCATAATGACATCTTGATTTCTTTACAATAGAGTCTTACTTAGCCAATCAGTGATATTCATTAATCTGCCTGAGCCCAGTGGTCTTACAGATAATTTTTTCACCAAGGGCACAAACATTTTACCTTCTCCAGGGGGGTTATTTTCTTGTTTATCAGTTACCCCTGATTCATTTCTACTTAATTGGACAATGATAACATACTTTCTCAAGGTGAAATTAACATGAATACTCTTTATGGGTACTATCCTCTGCTGTTTTGATTCCTACGAAAGCAACAGAAAATAATAGGGAGGCTTTAAGAGGCGTTTTTCATGTCTTGGATTCCCTTTTCTGGATGTGCAGAAAATTGCTGTCATAAAATTTCATATGCTGCTGATTGACCAACCATTAGATATATTTTTGTGTAAGTAAAATTGCAAAAGAGAAAAAAGTGGAATTTTTTTAACACCGCCCTTAAGCTATAGTTACATGCTAGTCAGGCAATGTAGGAGTAGCTAAGAAATTGGTGAATGTACATATCACTGGTTGTTAACAGACTCAATGAGCTGGGCTTTTGCTGGCCTGTACTTGTTATAATAGATAGTAATTGTCCATAAGACCATTTTTCTGGAGTTTTTTTTTTTTTTTTTAATTTTAAAACTCTATAATAGCGAGGCAAGTAAGATCAGAGAGAGGAGGGTCAGAATGAGCTGGAGAAGTAAAAAGTATTAAAATAAGAGTTTGCAGAACAATTTGATAAGTACTAATCTGTTAACAAAAACTTATTGGTGAATGAAAAGCTGTATTGTTCATCCTAGTTTGATAAACTACTGGGATGAAAACAACTATTTTCCCTAGGAAAGTCATCATCATCATCATCATCGTCATCATCATCGTCATCATCATCATGTAAAATATTTATCAAATTTAGACTTGTTCAGAAAATGTTCATGGGAAAGATTTTTAAAGAATGTAAAGAAAAATATAATGAAAAAAAAGTCAGTAAAAATCTAGCTGTTAAGAGACTTAGAGATCATTATACTTATGTACATAATAGACCAGCATTTGGGAAATATAATGGAATGACACCATTTTATTCTTTCAGTAATAAAGTGGAAAAATATAATCCTTGGGCTGGCCCGGTGGCTTAGTGGTTAAGTGCGCGTGCTCCGCTGCTGGCGGCCCGGGTTCGGATCCCGGGTGCGCACCGAGGCACTGCTTCTCCGGCCGTGCTGAGGCCGCGTCCCACATACAGCAACTAGAAGGATGTACAGCTATGACATACAACTATCTACTGGGGCTTTGGGGGAAAAATAAATAAATAAATAAAATCTTTAAAAAAAAAAAAAAGAAAAATATAATCCTCAAAGTAGAAAAATAGACATACAGAATTGCCTCTGTGAAGAGTCCAGGTCCACCTTCTGTCTGGTTGTCATTGGGAAAATCTGGTTGTCTACAGGGTTGCCCTCAGATGTCAGAGTTGGCAGTAACGATGATGGCAACATTTGTTGAGAATGTACTATGAAGAATCGAACTCAACTTTTAAGCATGTTCTTGTAGTTTTGGACTGAATCACCTATTGAAGCATAGGTTTGCCATGCTCTTTGTGAAGTAGAGTATAGCGCTTCCTTTTAAAAGATTCTAAACACACATAGTCTCTGTATTAGAGAATGTGCAAACAAGCCCATGCGTACTTTATACACACTGCTCGTGGCTTTGCTGATGCTGGTCACTATGTGTATTCACCTTTCACCCTGCCAGACTGAAGGGTCAAATCATCAACTGATTTTCTTCATCCAGACCTTCTTCATTTTGTCTACCACTTTTGAAGAGTTGTCGCCATTTTAATGGATTTTTGGCTTTGACTCAGAGCCTATAGATATTCCAGGGTTATTCTTGGTTCATTCTTACTATTACTAACATTTTGTATGTTATTTTACCATGGATAAAACTCTTACATGGTCATTGGACTCTGATAACTCAGTGTATTTTTCCATAAGTCCAGTTTGGACTGTGTACCTTAAAGCATTACCTTACCCTTGCTCACAGTGAAGTGTGTCTCTATTATCTGCAACTATTACTGTGCACTTAAACTCACACACCTTCTTGTATTTTAACCCCATTTAAGCTTAGCATTCCCCCGCCTGGAAGAGCTTTGGGTCATTTGCAAATCCGGAGGTTTCAGTGTATACAAGAGGCTAGCACTAAGCAAAACCCCTTTGCTTCCATTTCTGCATCTAGAGAGGTACCACTTCTTCCTATCCATTACTTAAATATGAAGCACCACTGCTTCCAAGTCCTGTGGAAACTTAGTTTTTAATAGCCTTATTTTGAGTATTTAAAAAAAAAATCTAGGGGCCGGCCCAGTGGCGTCGCGTTTAAGTTCGCGTGCTCTGCTTAGGTGGCCCGGGGTTCGCCAATTCGGATCCTGGGTGCGGACCTACTCACTGCTCATCAAGCCATGCTGAGGTGGTGTCCCACATAGAGCAACTAGAAGGATGTACAGCTATGACGTACAAGTATCTACTGGGGCTTTGGGGAGAAAAAAGGAAGAAGGTTGGCAACAGATGTTAGCTCAGGGCCAATCTTCCTCAAAAAAAAAAAATCTAAACAAAATGATTGCCTCTCTTGTAGATTATGTGGGGAACCACCCTTTTTGGCAAGCTCAGAAGAGAAACTTTTTGAGTTAATAAGAAAGGGAGAACTACATTTTGAAGGTCCAGTCTGGGATTCCATAAGTGGTTGTGGTAAGTATAGATTTGTTATTTACTAAAGCAAATATACGTAATATAAGAAAGTTGACTAGTAATTCAAATACTTTAATCTGTTTAGTTATTAAATTTACTTGTAGAAATAAACAGTGATATCTTCACTGTGTGTCTTATAGTCAAAACATCCAACAAAAACAGAAAATACATAGTAAAAATTGAAGAGGAAATTTGCTGATCATCTAGCTAATTTTTACTATAGACCACAAACTAGGTAACTAGGTAATATAGGCAATAAAACCTCACTTTAGGCCTTAAATTTTATTTCTTAGCCATTTATACTGATGATATTTATTTTATAATTGGCATCTTTCCTTCATGTCATGCAGACCTAATCTGAAATAAATTGGAAAATGTATGGTATTAATTGTAGCAAAGATAAATAAGATTTTTAGGATTTTCCGTTGTTTGCAGCTAAAAGTGTTTTGAAACAACTTATGAAAGTAGATCCTGCTCACAGAATCACAGCTAAGGAACTACTAGATAACCAGTGGTTAACAGTAAGTTACAGTATTACTTCTTTTCTTTCTTTTTGACATGCAACCATTGTTATTTCTTTTCATTTGGCCTTGAAGTTTATATATAGTCTTCTTAAAACAGTCCATTAGTTTCATCTTCTGACAAGTTAAAAAAATTGTTGTCTTGGTACATTTCTGAAATGGGTATTTTTAAACTGCTAAAACTATTACCACAGTTGTTTGTATATGTTTATAGAGGTTTAAATAAACTTTGCTTTGCTCCATATCATGAAGGTATCAAGTCCAGTAGAATAGAGCTGAGAAGTGTCCATTATTAAAGCTGTGGAATACTGAAGCAGTGTGTATGGTTTAGTGATGGAAAGCACTGGAACCGTCCACTTCTCTTTCAACTCTTTGGATGCAGGGAATCTTTGGGGACTCAGCAAAGCCAAGGTCTCCTAACAGTGCCTGTTACCTGGCTTGAAATCTTGAGTAATGATTCATTTACATGTTGCTTTCCCCCATTAGACTAAATGCCTCCAGCATAGACCCTATGTCTTACTGACCTTTGTGTGCCTGCACTCAGAACGTTACCTGGTCATGATAGGAACTTTGCTACTTACTTCTCAGTATTCATTCTCTTTTTCTTCTCTGGTAAAGAGGATCCTGACTTAACTGGAAACATTGCTATCTAGTCTTCTTTGCTAGTTATCCTCAGTCTTTGCTAGTTATCGTGATGGTTAATGAGATCTAAGTGGAAGTAGGAGCAATATCTGGGAAGTGTCTTTAGATAGAGGGGGTATGGCGTTCCTCATGCCCATCTTCTTTCTTGATGACTGGAATGCAGATGTGATGGCTGGAGTTTGAGTAGCCATATTAGACTGTAAAATGGAATCTGTAAACTGAGGAGGGCAGAGCAACAAGATGCAAGGAACCAGGGCTCTTAGCTCACAGAGCTGCAATGCCAGCCCTTGACTGCCTACCTCCAGACTTTTTTATATGGGCAAGGAACAAATTTCTGTTATCTTTTAAGGCACTGTAAAATATGTTAAATACCTAATACCAATTAATACAATACTCAATAAATAATTGCTGAATGAGTGAATGATTCAGTAAATGAATATGTGTAGGTATCACAGAAAATGTCTGAGAACTGAGATTAGAGATTTCTTGAGACACACGGAAATATTGCTAAGCAATATTCATCTATGACAAAAATTATTGTACATCTCTTACTTGCTAGATGCTTTGTTAGGTACTGGAGATACATGATATGCTTACATTGCAGTAGTATTGTTGAGAAATGATGGTGGCTTGACAGGGTGGTAGCAATAGAGTTAAAGAGAAATGTGGTATATTTTTTAGGTATAATTGATGGGGCTTGGTGGTGGAGTAGATGAGAGATGAGGATAGGGAGGAATCAAGGATGATTTCTAGATTTTGCTTTAACAACTGGTTGGACAGTGGTACCATTTACTAAGATGTGAAACACTGTAGGGAAAAATTTTTTTAGCGGGGGAAGGGTGGTGAATTAAAAGTTCCATGTTAGATATGCTGAGTTTGAGATGCCTCTGTGGCATCCAAATGGAGCTATCAAATAGATAATGAATATATGAGTCTGGAACTGAAGAAGTCTGAGCTGGAGATACCAATGTGGGAATCATGAGTATAGAGATGCCATGTGAAGTCGTTGGGCTAAAGAGATAAATGAGGAAGAAATTACAGATAGAAAGGAGAAGAAGCCCCAGCACCCTGCCTTTACACACTACAACGTTTAGAAGAGGAGAAGCTAGCGATGGAGGTTGAGAAGGAATCGCTAATGGGGAAGGAGGAAAATTAGGAGAGTAGTGCCAGGGAAGTTAAATGAGAAAAATGTTTGAGAAAGCAAAAGCAGTCAACTCCCAGGTAAATGCTGCCGAGAGGTTGAGATGAGAAGTCCCTTAGACTGGCCAACAGAGAGGTTGACGGTCACACTGAAGGCCCAGATAAGTTTAGATACCATAAATTTATAGTGATATCACTCTTCTTTTAAATACTCTAATTTTCCTTTGGCAATTTCTAATCATTTCTTTGAATAATATTTTTTTCTTCAAGGGCTAAAAAAATAGTCTTTACTCAAAAATGCGTTATATTTGCCCTCTTCTATGAATGTGTTGATCTCTCAAGTTACTCTGTGCAATAAGTATTTCTGGCCTAAAGTAATTGCACAAATGAGCTACCAACTAGATCATTGCAGAACTGTACTGAGGAGATTTGTAGGACAGCAAAATCAAAAACTGCAAAACAGATGGTGTGCCTTAGAAATCCATCTCTTTTCAGCATCACACAACATTCGGGTTTGGCCATTTAATTATTTGTTTTCTAATTAGTACAACTTTATTTCTGGCTTTGGTCATTTTTCCAGAAGTCTCCATTTTTGAGCCTCTGTAACATTTGTCTCTATGCAGTCTTTGCCAAATGGATAGAGAAGTGACAGATAGCGTGTACTATATCGGACTACCCTAAGAAGTTCAGTGTATGAAGTTTAGAATACTGGCATTTTATAAACTTCTAAAAGGCAAAAACTCTTTTCTTCTTAACCACTTGAAGTCTTACTTCCTATAATTCATATCGTCTGTTTGAAATAATCTAAAGAGAACATGTTAGTTCTCTCAGTGCCTTGCTGCTCTTTAACCAGAGCTTATCTTTTTGCAATACCTAACACATAGTAACATTATTTTCAAAGAGCTTTACTGGATAAAATGTTTCTATGGTTTAGCCTATGTATTATACATTTTGAAATATGGTACGTATCTGAAAAGTATCCTGAGAAAAATAGTAATTGTTTCTCTGTGTACATTTAAGTGAATGGAACTTAAAATAAACACATATTGTTACCTTGATGTCAAAGACTGGATGTAAGGAAAAACAGCCAAGAAATGCCTTTCCCCCAAAGGGAGAGTGTGATGGTGACTCCCATTGCCAGGAGTGTGCCATTCTTCTCTTGTATCCATTTCTTCCTTTTTGTCCTCTTTACTCTCAAAAGTGGTTCAGGAGTTTATTCCTTCTTGTTAGATAATTATAGTTGCCTCTGGATTCCTTTCAAGTCCCCTGGTGACAATTAACACCAAAAATTAGCATTTTAAAGATGCTTCCTAGGTATTTTTGATGCCCACTTATATTTAAGAACCACTGATATAAATTAAGAAAACATTTTTCTTCTATAGCTTGTCAAAAAATAGTTTCCAGATTTGAGCTCTGTTGGTAGTATTTATACATTCAGTAATTCCTTCAACAGATTTTTTTTTAGGTGCCTACCATGTGCCAGACCCTGTGCTAGGTAATAAAATATAGTTAAAGACGTATAGGACATGGTCTCTGACATAGGAGGTTAGAATTTAGTAAGGGAAGCAAGCTATGTATAAGTACAGTGCAAGGAAGAAAATGATAAATGACATGAGAAATTGCCAAATGACCAGAGGTACCTAGGCAAGCAAGTGTGAAATCAGAAAGTTCAATTTGACTGGTGGATAAGATGCTTGAAGGAAAGAAGTAGGAAATTAGACTTTTAGAAAAGGAAAGAAAATTGTGAGGGGACTTGAATCCCAGGATAAGAGTTTTAACTTCCTGTCATAGATAGTGGAGAACAATTGTATGCTCTTTGAAATGAAGGCAATTATTGTTATAGTGCCTCAGTCTTGCAAGGTGGCTTACTTTAAATGGGACAACAGTCATTTAAATGTCTATATTGATTTTAACAAATATCTTTGATTTTAATCCATCAGGCCCTATAGAGGTACAAAGATGAATAAAACACAGTCTCTCCCATTGAGTAATTTACCACAAATTACAGGGTAATTTGCTTTTTTTTTTTTTTTTGTGAGGAAGACTGGCCCTGAGCTAACATCTGTGCTCATCTTTCTCCACTTTACATGGGACGCCACCACAGCATGGCCTGACAAGTGGTGCGTCGGTGCACACCCGGGATCTGAACCCAGGCTGCCAGCAGCGGAGCAAACGCACTTAACCACTACGCCATGGGGCCGGCACGGTAATTTGCTTTATAGTCACACTTTGCAAAGGCACTTGTAATCAAGGTGTAGGGTCTGATTTCAGAACAGTCTTTCCTAGTGTGTGAACAAGGCCGATCTTCATTAATATACAAATTGTTATTCAGGTTTTGGTCATTAGCTTTTGACCTTTAGCCATAACATATATACTCTGCATAAGAGAATGGAAATTTTCTGATGCTTAACTAATTGAGGGTTTTTTTTTTTTTGTCCTATATAATTTAATCCTAAATATGTTAAGACTCTTACCTTTCTTTTACTATATTTAGTTATTCTTAAATTCTGAATTATCTTATATATGTGAATATGCTGATGAGGCCCTGTCTAATGAAGGTTTTTATAAAAATTAGGTTAATAAGAAGCTTATGAACCAGGAACCTTGGGAATTTATTCCATATTTAATGATTGATATATACTTAATAATTTGGCAAATATTTTTGAATAACTACTACATGCCATGGAGGACACAAGGATGAGTCTGGCACAGTCCCTGCCCACAGGTTGCCCACAGCCTAGTAGAGGATTTAAAACAGAAACAGGCAGAGAATGAGTATAAAACGTGTGTGTATATATATATTTAAAATAAATACATAAAAATTTACTCGACATAGTATATAGTATACAATAAAATATACTCTATACACTATATATATATATATATATATATATACACTCTGTATAAAAACAGAGTGTGCGTGTGGGTGTGTGTATGTGTGTGTGTGTATATATATATATAAATAATGTAGTAGTAGTACTATTAGGTTTTCAAGAAGAGAGCTCTTATTCCCTTTAGGGGATTACAAAACTATTTAAAGTGAAGGTAATATGTGATCTGGCTCTAAAAGAATAAAAGTAGAAATTAATGTTGAAGTCTTGTTAAGAAGGAGGGGGATTCTAGATAGAAAGAACTTTACAAAGATATAGAGACAGAAAATGTATGAAGTACTTTCAGAGAACATGGAGTATCTTAGTAGTTCTGTTTCTCTAGAACCA